GAGGTCAAACTAATCCTAGCTCAGCATTCAGACAATAGATGACAGTAGCTGATGTGTGTAGATAGTGGTGTAAGAACTGTGTTGATTTGCATATATGACAGAACCTTGTTCATCCAAACCCAAAATATCCCTCTGTTAAAGGAGCACAGTCAGGGTCATAAGCATTGAAATGTCCTTGCTGGTGTGCCCAATTGAAAGCATTTGAAAATTGAATTAAACCAGACGGATCGCCATGAAATGTGTGCACATGCACATTTCATAAATGAATAAAATGTGGTTTGGACTCTTCAATCCATTTCAGCGCTCTGAATATTTCCTTCAAAACTCCCAGGGGTTTGGATACACAAGATTCTACTTAATGTCTGGTAAAATATTAACTCTGTGTGCATGTATGTATGTATGTTTGTGTGTGTCCGTGTGTGGGTGTGTGTCTGCCTGTCTCCGCAGCCATCCGAGGCTTCTCCCCGCAGCATCGGATCAGCAGTTTCGAGGAGGCCAAAGGTCTGGATCGGATCAACGAGAGGATGCCTCCGCGACGCGATGCCGTCAACAGCGTGGGCCTGTCAATGGGCCGCATGAACATGGGAGAGCCCAATGGGACCGACAGCAACAGCAATATACAGTGATGGACATACCCTCCCACATGCCCAGACACATACCTGCAGTTACAACAACTCTCATATGGTACCATATTTATAGATACTTGTACATAGGCATATATACACAAGAAAATGCACCACACAAACATAGTATTACATACACTGAATGGGCTACAGACAACATCACACACACATGCAATCTCTCTCACACACACACACACACACGATTATCTACCCCATTCCCGTTGCCCTCAGCTGTATGTAAAGGCATGAGCGTACCCGGACTATACCACCAAAGGCTGAGTCTCTTCACTGAACTGATGGGCCCTATATAAAGAACTACAACTCCCATGTACCTGCACAACAACAGGAAAGAAACAACAAAAACACTCTCCATGCAAAACAGGAGGAGCTGCTGTTCACCATGTATGTTGGGGATCAACAGTGGGTTGACAGTGTCAGCATGACATGGCTGTCCGTGGTGTGTGCTGTGTCAGGCGGGGTCAAGAGTTTGCACGGAAGATGGGGGTGGCAATCAGGGGCAGGGGCGTTAAAGATATGTATGCTTCTTTTTCCTGTTTGCAAACAGGGAGTGGAACCAAACTTGCGATAGGTTGATTTTATAGAGTCGTGGATATGCCTGCCTGCGTGTGTGCACATGCTTCAACATGTAAATGTCCGTGCAGTTATATCTGAATATCTGAATATGTGTTTGCAAACACGAGCTGATCTCGCCATCAGCCAGCGAGAAAATTTTTGATGTGTGGTGTGGTATCTGTTGCCGAGAGATGTGTGGAGATAATCTCAGCTGCAGTCTAATCTGAGCCTTCGCTGTCCTTTTCTTCTCGGGAGGAGATTCCCGTTTGCTTTTGTAGCACTACACTGTAACCATCCTCTACTTGAAGTCAAGTGGAGTTCCCCCCCCACCCCCCCCACCCCCCCTCGTTGCCCTCCCAAAAAAATATTAAAAAACAAAAAACTCTGGTCCCAGGCCAGTTAGCTCTCTGCAAAGGCTTGACACTGGGCCAGGATCAGATGTGAAACAAGTGTTTCTCCCCACCTGTTGTGTGTAAATAGGTTACATAAAGAGGTTTTATTGCACATGTGATGAACACGGTCACGAGATGCAAGATGCAGTATAACGAACGTAGGATGCTTTATGGATGAGAGGGAGCCGGGGGGAGTTGAAATGTGAAGTCATACTCTATTCATTCTCTTTCTACATCCTCCTTTCTTCCTGTGTTGCTGTCTGCTACCACACAGCAGTGATGGCTGGGAAATCTCCGGCCTAAAAAGCAGGAAATAATATTTCACAAAGGAAACAGACTCTTCTGATTAAGGCAGCAGCCAAGACGACAAGAAGAAGTCACAAGAAAAGGTCTTTGTAAAGCATTTATATTAACGCATCAGTGCATGCAGAGTTAAGTTCTTTGATAATAATGTGAAGATTATATTTGTGCTCTGTGTTTCACTATGGTAGGATCTTTTTTTCTTTTTGTTTTTTTCTGGCTAATATAAATGAACTGAGGAATAATGAATAATTTATTTTGTACATAATGTTAATTTATTTTTTGTATTCATTTTGTGTTATATTTTGTTGTTGGTTTTTTTCATGTTTTTTTTTTTCTTTTTCTTTTTCACAACCTGTGTTTCTGGTTTCTTTCGATGCTGTACAGAATGACAGTACGCTTCTATTCAAAGTGTCAAGTCCACGTTCTCTCCTCTCTTCTTTGTCGGTGTACAGGAGTTGTTTTTAACGATAAATATGAATAACGATAAACAAATATTAAATTAGCATTGATGAATGACCATACTATATACAGAGGCACAGGCATTCAGGCAGCCAAAAGCATGATTGCATGGTTAAAATTTGCGCTGTTTAAAGCAAAAAGCAGAAAGACACATTTTAACAGAAGAGCCGGTGTGTTGCTGTCACAATTTAAAGGAAAAAAGTGTACTCTCTCTCTGATCATAATTCTTGATGATTCCTCTTGTTATTTGATGATATTTATGATTCTATGATTATTATGATTCTATTTATTATGGACATTATTCTTAATATTTAAGCTCTCTCTCTCTGCTGGTTGCTCTTCATGTTGCGTTGCTCCTTGGTTGATCTTGTTGTGCTTCTTTGGGAGAGGTGAACCCCCCTGGGAGACCCTGTGCCATAGAAATTGTGCCACGGTTCTTACTTTCTTTCTCTCTGTCTCTCTCTCTGTCTGTCTGTCTCTCTCTCTCTCTCTCTCTCTCTCTCACTCTTTCTGCTCTCTTTCTGTTTTGACTCCCCAGTCACTAACACTGTAAGCATGCCCCATGGGACGATCCACTTTTTTACTCTTGAATAAAATATGCATGAACCTTTGATATGGATACTGAGACTTTATTTAATTACCACTGAGCATGGACACACAAAAGACAACATAAAAGAAGCACCCTTGTGCAATAGCAATGAATGAGTCAATAAAATCATTCAATGTGACTGGACCTGTTATACAGTTGCCAAATCACAGAGGAACATGCTTAGAATGATAAAGATAATCTTGTGAAGCAGAATTTAGCTTTGTTAAAATGTCCCACCCAGGAAATTCACTTGTGACCCCCTTCAGTTCATTTAACCACTTGTCAGAGTGAGTCAATCCAGTAAGTGTCAGTCATTTACAGTCTTCTTTTAACACTGAGCATGTTACAGCTACTGGCTGTGGTTTGACAAGACAGAAAGTATTCCACATAGAAGATACCATTCCAGGTAAGAGGGAGTGACTTTCTCTTTGATCAGGTAGTTTCACAAGGGTGAAACTGAGCTTACTGATTTATGTTGTGTAACAATTACGGGAGTGACAGGAAAGACAAGAAAGGATATATGAAATAATCACAAAGTGGTTAAAAAACTTTTGACTTAATCATTAGGGCTAATTACTGTAAGTTACACCTCCCTACTGGTACGTCAAATCTGCTGAAGAATACAATATTCGTTTTATTTAAATGTATTAGATTTATCTTGCATAACCACTCAAACTAAGTCTAAAAACACTAGTATCACATCTCAAAAAACCCAAGTTGTTTGTAATAGTGCAATGTAAACTCCTCGTCATACTAACCCTCTAAGATAATATCAAAGACAAGACCTTAGTGTTCTCAGTGATAGTCATGGCCTGGTCTAGTGGTGAACTAGGGGTCATGCTACTCACATAGGGGAGTACTTCTGCATTTGTCAGGAGGCATGTGGTTGGAGTCTTAAGTAACCTAGTTAATGGATAAACTGTAGTTTGTTAAATGCAGTGAATAATGGTTAAAGACATATTGTTAGTGACAGGTTGAGAGAGATGAAATAGATCAAATAATGTTAATGGCTAAATAATTGAATTAGTTAGCTAAAAGTGACAAATAAATGGTTATAATAGTTAGCTAAAAGTAAATGTCTGAAATAGTTATCTAAACGTTATGGATAAATAGTTATCTAAAAGTGATGGATAAATGGCTGAAATAGTTAGCCAAAAGTTATTGATAAATGGCTGTAATAGTTAGCCAAAAGTTATTGATAGATGGCTGAAATTGTTAGCCAAAGGTCATTGATAAATGGCTGAAATAGTCAGCTAAAAGTTACTGATAAATGCCTGAAATAGTTAGCTAAAAGTTATTGATAAATGGCTGAAATTGTTAGCCAAAGGCTATTGATAATTGGCTGAAATACAGTAGTTAGCTAAAAGTTATGGATAAATGGCTGAACTTGCTAGCTAAAAGTCACAGATAAATAGTTGGCTAAAAACTCATGGATGATTATGCAATATCACATGAGAGGGAATGCTGTTGTACTTAATATATTCATATAGCCTATATATTTCTAAATATAAAAATTTGATAGATTTTATTTATTAACAGTCAAAAGCAGCAACAGGTTATGATTTGTATGTTTATTTCATGATTCATTCGGCTCCACCAACACAAATAGTTTTGCACCTGGACTGCTACTGGACTGACCAGCAACAAATGATGGTGTATTATTATAAACAAGTTATGTTTTAGCTCACCAATAGGATTCCAGAGACTCTGGAGTCTTTGACAAAGAGCAGTGAAGCTGATCTGAAGGCCTAATGTTTGCCCACAACCTTTATATTGGTTTTTATTTATTTATTCCTATCTGCATATTAGTCTTTTACTTTCATATATAAATGACCCAACAAGACTTGAAAGACTTGAAACTTGAGTTAAAAAATTGTTGTCATTACAAAATTATTAATAGATGTACAGTGAGAACTTCCTCTTTCATGAAGCCTTTGGCCTGATCTCTGCTCCCTCCTACTCCTTCTCGTTACCATAATGTTTTGATGGCACAGGAATACGGGTAGAAAACTGGAATCGAAAGTGAAAGTGTAGGATGATGACTAAAAAGGGCGGGGAGAGAGTGAGAGGAGAGGCAGAAGGAGAACAGAGGACAAAAGAAATCTTTTCAGTCTGGATCACAGCAAACGTATTGAGGTGAGTCCCTCCATACATTCTTACTTAGTTTTAAAATGCTTTTGATGGAGTTAGACTCACCTGCTAGATTAGACTTTTTCCCATCATCACTGACAGAGATCAGGTTGTGTGTTTGTGGTAAACAAAAAGTAACTTTATGAAAACCTCACTGTTACATATTAAACTGTCTTCACTATTTTACTGCCAAAGAGTGTACAGCACATTTGTTACAGCTACGTCATCTTGGCACCATTACATTGTGGTTATACTGGAATGCATTTTGAATAGATTCAGTTGCGTGGGAGCTTATAATGATAGTCTAATGTCTGATGTTACTACTGATGGACAGAAAACACACATGTAGTAAAGACAGCTTCAGATTAAATTGTAGCCTATTAAAAAACATAAGCACAGAAAAAAGAATCCAGGGCTCACAGGCTCAACCATAAATGGTTGAAATAGTTAACTAAATGTGACGGATAAATGGCTGAGATAGTTGGCTGAAAGTGATTAATATATGGCTCAAATAGTTAGCTTAAAGTGATGGGTAAATGGTTGAAATAATTAGTTTAAAGTGATGAATAAATGGTTGAAATATTTATCTAAAAGTGATTAATAAATGGTTGTAAAAGTTAGCTAAAAATGATGGATAAATGGCTGAAATAGTTAGCTAAAAGTGATGGATATTAAATTATTTGTTTTCACAAAAGTAAAAATTTGTCCTGGTACAGTTATTTTTATACAGCCATATCAGGGCACAACTGCCCTGATGCCAACAGGTATACCATCTATCTAAGTAGTGAGCTTAGGTGTAGATAGAGAGTAACTTGATCATAGAAGCACTCATTTGCACAATGTACACATTCATACAAATGCACAGGCATACTCATTCCAACTCGAAAGAACTTCAAAGGTAGATCAAAATGTATCACTTGTGTAACTTTATGCATGTTCAGAGTCCACCCACACCCATGTCATTAATGTTCCAGCATACGTGTCTAGTAGGAGATTGTGGGAAAAGAGAAACTGTACAATTCCAAATAAATGCGGGGGGGGGGGGGGGGGGGGGGGGGGGGGGGGGCATTTGAGGTTGTTAAAGCTAAAAGATGAATTTTATATAATGTTTTGCTTTTAGTAGGTGAAAACTGCCATTGTCAAACATTCGATACATTACACACAGCCATATTTCACACTTAAAAAAATATTCACCAGCAAAACCACCATTCGTCTATCAATTACTCACTGTGTGTTACCTTTGTTTGCACAACATGCCTCCATGGTGAACGGAGAATCCAAAAAGGATTCTACTTAATGAATTTAAGTAATTGAGGACCAAATAATCAACACATCAATTTTCAAAGTCTCACACTACTCCAGCAGTGCAGTCCCAGTCTCATTTAAACAGCCATATGCTCAGTACCTCCCAAACACATGTGTCTTCAATAAAAGCTTACTATTTAAAACACTTCCGTCTCAGCACATGCTTCCATATGAGCTCCTTTTTTGGATTCTGTGTTCAGTGTGGAGGCATACAGAGCATGCAACATAAAAAACGGTGAGTAATTGACAAATGGTCATTTTGCGGGTAAAGCATTCTTTCAACGACCACATAGTTTAGACTTCATTGAACAGCTTTCTGAGTGAACTGACCCTATGCACTGAGAAAGATACATGTGCTTTTATAAAAGCGCTCCCTGACACTGGGTGACTGTCCCCTGACAGATGCAGTGCCTCCAAGATCAGGACGCACTCATCCCTCAGCCTCGCGGGACTTTGCCTAAGGTGTGTGCTGCTGTGCTGGCTGCCATAACAACAGGATGCATTGTGTTTCTGTCTCCTGAAATGTTATTTGGATGGGTTGCCATGGTAATACTAATCCTGACACTCGGCCCTCTGCTGCACGGGATCTGTCTGCTAGCAGAGGAGATGCTTTACCATTCAAGTACAAGGTGAGAGAGAAGGTGTGGGTGTATTTGTGTGTGTTACAATCAGCTGAAGTAAACAACTAAAACAAAGATGGAGGAGTCTGGAGTGGTTCTGTATTTAGATTAAGAAAAGAAAAAGAGCTCTAGACCAAAAAATAAATAAATTAATCCTTGTTGTCTGGTCTGACTTAAGTAGTGGCTTTCCTTAAGCATTGCTTAACGCTGCTCTAATAAATATTCTTATATTAAAAATGCATCAAATGACTTTAATGTAAAAGGTGTCAATCTAAGTGACGAACCTACAGAGAATTATCCCCTGACTGCTGTTTCCCCTCTGCTCTACAGAGCACTTAGTGTCTTTTAGCTCAGTGTTTTGGTTTTACAGCCAGCAGCTTTCCTGACTTTTTCGACTGTCACTGCTCTCACTGGCGTTGTTTGTAGCCGCAGGTAAAAAGAAACAAAACACTGTTATCCGCCTGGACAGTATGTTTACAAAATTGTTCAAATCTCTCTAAATCAATTAAATGTTCATTAATGTTAAAACGCTAAACTGGGCATCTACCAGTGCAACCGTGACACAGCACAGACACAGCAACAGGGACAACAGTGTCTTCTCTATTTTTACCAGGTACCGAGGCCGAGGGCTGTTGAGCCACATGCTGCCAGCCTGTGGTTTAGGGGGAAAGACCCTGCTGGCTGCAGGGCTGGCAGGCCTTCTGCTCTACCTGGCCGGAAATCCTCTGCCACACAAAGACCAATGCTGGAAACTCCTCTTCCTGGCCTCAGTTCTTTACGCACTGCTCAAAAGCCTGGGAGTCCTGGTGAGGTCCACACCTGACACACAAACACCACTGTCTTTGTTTTTCTGGGGTGTCTGTCTTTCTTTTGCAAAAAAAAGTATCATTGGAACATTACAAAGCAGGTGTGCTTCTTCTTAAAGGACCATACCCCCCAAAAAATTAGCAAGCTTGAGTGGTTTTCTGTCCTTGTCTGCCATTAGTTTCCATTCATATAGAAATTAATGTAAACCTTTGACTTTTCCAGAAAACAGTGAAAGCTCTAACGCAGAAACACCGGTGCAGCTCTTTAAATTAGCCTGTAGATGTCTCGTAATGTACGTGCCGTCATCCCTGGTAAGTACAGGACTACACTGTAAAACCCACCTAGAAGTATGGATATCAAGGGCATCTCAAACTTATTTACTTTCGCAACTATGTTCAAAAAAATACTCTATATAACTAATTTAGAGGTGTCAGTATCAGTTTCTGCTTCACTGCCTGTCACCTACCCAGAAAAATGTGGCTCTGATGTGGCTTTGAACAAAAAAAATAAATAAATCAAGAGGTATTTTAGAAGGTGAACGATCAATACTGTCACACACAATCAGAAATGAGAGACTTGTGTTTGCACAGCACCTCATCTCAGATGTCGTTCACATTCTGAGCTTCACTATCGAGTCATTTATCAACACACAGAATTTGCTGAACTTTCTATGGAAGCCCAGTATTCATGTTAAATGAATACCTATCATCAGACCCTGAGTATGCAGTGGGTCTGGACACCCAAACAACACAATACTCACTGGAAGCACTTGTGTGAAAGCAACAGTGTCAACATTACATAGTATACAGTATAGATGCAAAGCAATGCGGATTTTTTTGGGTTTCGAAATGCTGCACCCCCGGCTAGCATCTTTAAGACACGTGCAACTTGTGCTAGCAACAAAGCATACACTTTAGCTAACAAGAGGCTAGCTAACAATAACCACCTGACGACACGATAAGCTCAATAGCTTGTTGCTAGCAGTGGCAAGATAAAAAACCAAGTTTACAGAAACTGTCATTTAATATTAGATATCTCAATTTGCAATTAAAAAAACTGGATAACAGTCAACTTTGATCTTGGAAATAGAAAAGAGAAAATAAAAAGAGACACTAAGTTGAGAGTTGAGGTTCGAATGCTGGGGTGGGCGAGCCCTTATGTGTGGCGTTTTGCATGTTCTCCCCGTGTCAGCGTGGGTTTTCTCCGGGTACTCCTGCGTCCTCCCACATGTGAGTGTGAATGGTTTCCTGTCTCTCTGTGTCAGCCCTGCAATAGTCTGTCCAGGGTGTACCCCACCTCTCGCCCAGTGTCATTTGGGATAGACTCCAATATACATTCTGTCCTAGACAACTGGAAAGACAGCGCAGAGGGAATCTTTCTCTCTTTTTGTTCACAGTCCCAGTTAATTTAGATAATTGATTGAATCAGAAAGGTCATCATCTGAGAGCTTATTAAATTGTCACAGCTCAGAGCGCTGTGGTAGAAGTGGGAAAAATAGCTCAGTTTTAGCATAAGAGGACTACACTTCAGACAGAGCAGACCCTATGTAGGAACACTTCCTGAAGCATCAGTTGATTGTAATTGATATGGCATTTCTGGAGTAAAAATAGGCCTAAAAATATGTCTACATCTGCAAGAATGACCATAGCACTCACACTCTCCTCAAATAATTGCTGTATAATTCTGAACAAAGCACTCTCTTCCCTCTGACTCCTTATAGAAACTGGCAGCATTATAGATTCAAATTCAGCTCAAGCTTGGGTGTAGCTGTCTCTGTCCCCATCTAAAAAATATGTTCCTCCCACAGAGGAGAGGGTGGCTTGGGTACAGGGATGCCCTTTTCTTTTGCCACACACATTCCAATAGGTGTCTCCTGAACAAAGGTGAGGTGTTGTGACATCCCTCTGGCTGTTTCTGTGGTCGGTGTGCAGGGTCCGTCGGAGGTGGAGGTGTCAGACATCTGTGAGGGGAGGAAGATGAACGTGGCCCACGGCCTGGCCTGGTCCTTCTACTTGGGCTACCTGCGACTGGTGCTGCCACGTCAGTAACATCAAAGCACACACTTCCTTATATTTCAGATTATGCATGATTATTTGAATACGAGTTTTTTGGGCTTCACTTGAGCAATGTAATCAATCGAATTAGATATGCTGTATGTCTATTTCATATGTATGTCTATGAAATATGTCTATTTCATAGACATACAGTTCATCCTAAAATTAAACACACATTTTCCTTGCACCTGTAGTGCTATTTATCAGTCTAGATTGTTTTTTTGCATTGGAGATGTAGGCTGTAAAGATGTCTGCCCTCTCAAATGTGTGTGTGTGTGTGTGTGTGTGTGTGTGTGTGTGTGTGTGTGTGTGTCCATTAAGGTTTGGAGGAGTCCATTACAAGGTTTCGTGCCACCCATCAGGCCAGCAGATCCTCCTGGGGTCGTGGCTCCAGGAAACTCCTCATCCTCATACCTCTCAGCGCCAACATTTCTCACAAGCTGGAGGAAGAGGACGACAATATCACTTTCTATGACAACCTCCCCGACACTGAGATAGACAGGGCGGGAGTCCGGAGGCGAGTCTTCAAGCACAGCGTCTACAGAGTAGTGGACGAGCATGGAAAGGTAGGCGGAGTTGTAAAACAGTAGTTACAGATTATAATGCAGGTAGATTTAGATCATTCCAGAATTTTAATAGTGAGAACACAAACACTGAAGTGCTTTCACACACAAAATAATAGCTGTGTGCCATTCATCCATCGATTCTCTGTACTTTTTCGAGTCAAAGGTGGCTGAAAATATGCGGGCATGCATCCGGGAAAAGGCAAGGAAACATCAAAGACAAGTCTCCAGCCTATCTCACACCTTTATTATTTTAAGTTATAGTTCATAGATTGAATTTCAAAGTGATGAAGTTCACATTTCAAGCAGACAATCAGTCATCTGGAGCAGATTATATTCAGAAACCTCAGTCAGGTGCAGAGCAGAAAGATTCAGTCAACATGAAATAAGGTGATCAGAGAACCTGCAGTCTGAATGCCACTTAGCTACTTGTGCTGTAATTCAACTCAGTGTCTGTCTTCTTATTGCCAGTGTGAGTTAAAAGACTTTAGCGTGCTGACATTTTCTCCTTTGATCAGATTTGTAAAGACCGCACAGCTAAAATACGTCAGAGAGAGAGTCACAGTAAAGTGACAGACTCAAGGGGCTGTTTCTGTATATTTTCTTCAGTATTTCATGATAGCACGTCAATGTGCTCCATATCCGATATGTTTGATGTAGCAAATCTAACAGTGATTGTACTCAAAATCACCTCTGTAGTTTAGTCGAGGGAAAGGAAGTTTGGGATGCATGAAAGCAGTCTGAGTTTCACGTGAGAACAGAAATAGCCACAGAGTATATCAAAGTGATGTTGATGTTATGGCTGTGTTTTAAAGTTGCCGTTATTACACAGAATAAGGTGATGATGAATGTCTGACTTTTGACATTTACTCCAGTCCAACCATCAGTTATAAACCCAAAGACATTCATTTCATTTGTCATTGTCAACATAGCTGCCGATTAATTTCCTTTTCATCAATTAATCATTTCAAATGTATTAGAGCATTAAAATGATTGTCTACATCTTAATGCATCAGTGATAATATTTCAGTAATATTTACGGAAATATATTGATGATACCGGCCGGGGCCATTCCATATCATTTTGCCTGCTTCTACTTTAAAGCAAAACTGTGTAACTGTAACTTTGTAACTTTTGAAAGTATAATTTCTCTTACAAATGAAAGTTGAATTCATATTAAAACACTCTGGCCCAATTCAGTGCACTCTGGGATTTTTGATGATACAACTTTACTGGGTTTGGTACAACCGGTCACTTTTTACGGAAAACAAGAACAGCCTTTGCATGCAATTATTTTTTAAGCTGGTATCTCAAGATCAAGAGCTAATTTTTTTGTTAGTTTTTTGCTATTATGTTGTTAACGATAACGCCTGATTTTAGCTTTCAAGATCACTGTCATGACTGTCGGGGATGATTCATAACTGTCTGATGAGGACTGATCTAAATACTGTCTTTAACAGAAAGACATTGCAATTTGAAGTAATTTTATGTTGCCGGCATGCGCCAGGCTATAAAAGCCCCACTTTGCGCATGCACCCATTGATTCATTGATTTCCACCTGTCAGAGTAGGCGTGGGAGCAGAAAGAAAAGAAAGAGGAGTTTAGCGTTTTGTCCACTTACCTTCGTTTAGGTTGGAGAGCTGGCCTTCACAGGTCCCTCTCGAGGATAGCTAAATGCTGTTTCTTCTTTTTGACAATAAGGAGTGAAACAGTTGAGGGCAGTGCCACATCCATGTATTGCATTTGTCTGTTTATGCACGTAAGAACCGACAGCACAGTGGCAGCAGCATATGTCAACAGACAAGGGGGCCTGGGTTCCCCAAACCTCTGCAGAATAGAAACACAGGCTGTGGACCTGGGCATGGACACGGTTCCTGTCCCTCAGGGTCGTGCACATGCCGGATTGGTAAACCGCTTTGGCAGAGCAGTGGCCGACCTATTCGCAACCAGGGACAATGCCCATTGCCCCACATGACATGGTTCTTGGAAGTGGAGCCTCTCCTAGCCGGGAGGCCACCCTGCTCCATCCCTTTCCACACGGGCTCAGGCTTGGGACTTGTGCAGTCAGTGGTTCAGACCATGCAGAGTGCTCGGGAGATGGTGACTGCAGCCTCATCTCTCAGTTCCTGAAGGGTGCGCAGAGGCTTGCACTGCGCACCAGGAGGCTGGCCATTCCACCTTGGGACCTGCATCAGATGTTGGTTGCCCTGCAACAGGAGCCTTTTGAGCCTCTGGAGTCAGTCAGCATTAAGTGGCTGTCTCCTAAAGTGGTTTTACTATTAGCAGTGACATCCGCCAAAAGAGTGGGGGAACAGCACGCTCTGTCAGTGGATAAGAGCTGTTGCCTGAATGTGGCTGCTGGCACCTCCTTTGGGGAGCGCGTGCTGGGTGCCATCATACAGTAGGCCATGTAATTCCATGCCCCTGAGCTGGGGGGGTGCCTTACACAGCTAGGGTGATGTCAATATTATTGTCAGCGGTCTTCCTGCACCCAACCTCTGCATCTGGCAGGGTTGGTCATGCTTATGGTTGTGTCTGGTGCCTGGGCATTGGTACAGTGGCACACAGCATCTGGCAGTGTCACTGACCATTTAATGTGCAAAATTTTGTACATTTGTATATAGTTTATTGATGTTTTTTCTCTGTCTCCTGGGGTCCCTTGCGGTGTGTCTTTAAGGGCTCCCATAGTTAGGATAGAACTACTGGGTGGGGAGATAATCTCGATACTATAGAGAAAGTTCGGTTACATTGTAACCTTAGTTCTCTGAGTGAGGAGATGATCTCCCCAGGCTCAAGGCCACTTGGTACCTGCTCCAATCAATGTTAATCAGTGGGTGCATGTGCAAGGTGGGGGTGCTATAGCCTAGTGTATGTGGGCCATGTAAAGTGATGTGTCTTAAAGATTATTAATTTTCCACGTCGATTACCCCAGATGAGGATAATTCTAACTACTGGGTGGGGAGATAAGCTCCTCACTTAGAGAACCAAGGTTGTAACCAAACATTATCTTGTTAATTCGAGATAACATAAATAACAATTTACTGGAGATGAGTAAATAATTAACTTGTGATCTTGAGATAATGACTTAAAAAACTATTGCAAGCACAGCTGTTCTCAGCCTCCCTAGCTCATGGTGACTAATGCTAAAAAACGTGGATATTACTGTATGAGCAGATGTTATTGAGTCATGTTGCCAGCTTGAAAACTCTTCTCTGCTTGTGTCACTGTTACAGTAAAATTACTGTTATTACGCAAGTGTCACTCGTGGCTACAGTGGCTCCTGTTTAGCAAAAGTTGCATAGGATTGCTGACAATATTTATTGCTTGTATTTAAGTAACGCTCAACACTTAATGCAGGAAATAAAACTTGTACTGGAATCAACCCTGACGGCTTTACTGTAAAGACTGATAACTTTATTCATAGATGTACTGACTAGAATTTATTTTCACTCTAAAAATGACTCCATAAATGACTGTTGTCCTCTGTTGTTATATATTTTGAGAATATAAAAAGCACAGAGACAGGTATATTTTGCAGTGGTGGAAAGTGATTAAGCACATTTACTCAAGTACTATACTTGAGTATAATTTTGAGGTACCTGCAGCCTACTTTAACTGAGTATTTCCATTCTATACTACTTTTTACTTCAGCTCATACTTTTGTACTTTTACCAAAGTAAAATATTTAATGCAGGACTTTTAATTGTAACAGTATTTCTACACTGTGGTACCACTTTTATTGAAGTGAAAGATCTGAATACTTCCTCCACTTCTGATACTTTGAGATCCTCCCACCTGCCAAAAAACTAATTCAGAGTACAGTATCCTTCCAGCATGCTGTTTCCCTCAAAAGCACAGCATCAGTCCCACCTGCTGGTTAAACCTGAGAACTGATCAGTGGAGAACTACTTTAGTAAAGCACAGTAACAGCCCCACCTACATGTAAAACATGGTAATCATACATTTCTGCTGCCAGAGCTCCACAAGCTTTTAAAGGATTATTTCCATGTAATGTCTGAGAGTCTGCTTTGTAAATGTGTGTGTGGATGTCTGTGTGTGTAAACAGGTCCGTGAGTGTGTTATGGAGTATGCAACGCCTCTGCTGACACTGTACAGCATGTCCCAGGAGAGCAGCGCTGGTTTCGGGGAGCCTGAGCGCAGACAGCAGGTCTTGCTCTTCTACAGGACCCTGCAGGACATACTGGAGCACTCGCTAGAGTGTCGCAACCGCTACAAACTCATCCTGCTCAATGGTAGGAGGACAAGCCAAGTGTGTGTGTGTGAGTGTGTGTGTGTGTGTGTGTGTGTGTAAACTTTATACACACCTCGCAACAGGAGACAGACTGCTTTTAGGAGGATTTCAGCTTTTAGCTTATCCGCTTCCCCACAAGGATTGACAATCAGGATTTGTGTATTTATGGATTCTTTTGCAATTTGTGTGTTTTAAAAAAAGGTTTTGTTGATACACAGCCGCCTTGTGCTGCACAGTGTGTGACTGAAATGAAGTATGAAGGTCAGAGTATCAGTGCTGGGAACTTTTCTGGCTTTGGTCCAGTTATCTATGGCCTCATGTGAACTTTTTATCTTTGCACCAGCAGTGAGAAACTCAATCACAATGTGGTTTTAAAAAAAAAGTATCACATCACTATCTTAACATGAACTCTTGAAAAGGAGTGAGCTAAACACAATAGTAATGGTTAGATACAGGATGCTCAAACAAACCATAGATCATGCCTTCTTCTTCTTCTTCTTCTTCTCCTTCTTCTTCTAGATGAGCATGAGGACGACCCTCACTTCCTGTCCAAAGCTATCCTCAGACACCTGCAGCAGCAGGAGAAAGAGGAGTTCTGCCTCACTCCACCTCCTCACCAGGAGATAGGACATCCGTTCATGAGTACATCAAGTGCCCCGCCAAGTGCTCCATCTATGAACCAGGTGCCAATGAGCAGGGAGCCTACACTCATGTTCAGCCTGGAGAAACCTAAGCCTCTGAGGGAACCTGTGGAGAGCACCGACCATTATCAAGGAAGAATATAAACAGATGCTCAGGCACAGGCAGAGATGAACATAAATGCACACATCACACACGTCACATCACACGCATACACACTGTTCTCATTCTTGTTCTGTACTAGATTTAAACAAAATATGGTACACCTGTTTATATTTTCTGATACGTGCATTTTGTTGTAGGATTAATAATATCTGACTGTGTCTGAATTCATAGATATTAAATAAATTCAAACATTTGCTTTGAAAAAGAGTTGGTTTCATTTCATTTTCTCTAATTAAGGGTTTGGCGAGTGACAGTTCTCTGAGGCTCTGAGGCTCTGAGGCGCTGCCTGACCAGTAACAAGCCGTACAAAGGACATAGGTTTCATTTCACAGTTGGGGACACACATATTAGGCAGGGGTTCTGGGGCTTACTTCCTCCATTTCGGTAAATTTTAATGCCCCAGTTTATCTTCTTCTTCGTGGAGTTTAACGGCGGTTGGCCACCTTTACAACGGGGCATTACCGCCACCGCCCCAGTTTATAATAGAAATGTTTTATTTGTGAAGGAAAACACAAAATTCAGGCGGCAGGTGACATTTCAAATACAAAAGTATAACAACAGTAAGACTCTCAGGCACTTTGTATAGCTTTAAAATATTTGGCTTAACCCTAATTGTGCCGGGTTTAAAATCAAAATTAGTTAAAAAACAGGCCATCTGTGCTGAAACACCTAACATATTTATTTCTAGATATGATTCTGCTAAGTGCTGCAGGTCCCAGTCCTCTTTAAATTTAAATTTGTCTTCTCTGTCATTGTGTGACAATTTAGTTGATAATTTTAATACCTCAGTCATACAAATCATGGACAATATTGCACCCATGAGAATTAAATCAATTATTGCTAAAATGAAAACACCCTGGAGGAATGTGGAAAGAGTCAAAGTATTAAAAAGATCCTGCCGCAAATCTGAACTCAAGTGGCGTAAGACCAAACTACAAGTAGATTATTTAAGGTATAAGAATCATCTCAGTAAATATAACAATGAAATTAAAAAATCTAGACAGCATTATTTTTCTCAAATAATTGCTGAAAATTCAAATAATTCCCAAGTGCTGTTTAGTACTATTGATAGGCTGATTAATCCACCTAGACAAATTCCAACAGATCTTCACTCTACTGAGAAATGTAATGAGTTTGCCACATATTTTACATCCAAAATTTCTAATATTAGAGATAAAATTGTGGCTTCCTCTGCTGGCGTGTATGATCACGTCTCTTTGACTCAGCGTAACATTGCTAACACTCTCTCCAACTTCGCCCTGATTCAATCCTGTGAGCTGCATGATGTAGTGCGGCTGCTCAGATCTTCAACATGTGCTCTTGACATGATGCCAACTAAAATGTTCAAAAATGTTTTTAGTTGTATGGTGGAGGATGTTCTTGACATTGTTAATGTCTCCCTACTTTCTGGAACTTTCCCCTCATGTCTCAAGCACGCTGTTGTGAAACCACTGTTAAAAAAAAATAATCTTGATCCACTGGTTTTTGACAACTACAGACCAATATCAAATCTTCCATTTCTTGGGAAAATACTTGAAAAGGTTGTTTACCAACAGTTATATCTGCATCTGTCAAATAACAATCTGTTTGACACTTATCAGTCTGGTTTCAGAGTAAACCACAGTACTGAAACTGCTCTGATTAGAGTAGTGAATGACCTCAAAATTAGCACAGACAATCATAAAGTCTCTGTTCTGGTACTTCTTGATCTAAGCGCAGTGTTCGATACTGTGGATCATGAAATTCTTATTCAACGTCTTGAACACTGTGTAGGCCTTAAAGGTACAGCTCTATACTGGCTTTCTTCTTACCTCACTGGAAGATCTTTCTCTGTGTCCATCGGTAATTTTGATTCAGATAAGATAAGCATTCCATATGGTGTCCCTCAGGGATCGATTTTAGGTCCTCTCTTATTTAATATATACATGCTTCCTCTTGGGTCCATTATTCAGCAATATAAAGTCTCATATCAGTCATATGCTGATGATACACAGCTATACATATCGGTTTCTGCCAATGAACATGACCCTCTGAACAATCTCATCCAGTGCATCTCAGATATCAGTTCCTGGATGAGCAAAAATTTCTTACAGCTTAATCGGGACAAGACAGAGATTCTTGTTGTTGGTCCTAAGGCCCTGAGGCATGAAATTCAATCCCTGCTTACTCCCTTATCTGTTCAACCATGTGATCATGTCAAAAACTTAGGTGTGGTTCTTGATGCCAACCTCAGCTTCCACAAGCACATCTCTAATATATCTAAGACAGCATTTTATCACCTGAGAAATATTGCTAAAGTTAGATGTTTTTTATCCCAATCTGATTCTGAGAAGCTGGTGCATGCTTTTATTTCTAGTAGACTAGACTACTGCAATGCCCTCTTTGCTGGACTGCCAAAACAAACATTAAACAAACTCCAGCTTATTCAGAATGCAGCTGCTAGGGTACTAACAAAAATCAAAAGGTCTGACCATATTACCCCGATTTTATCATCACTACACTGGCTCCCAGTAAAACAAAGAATTGATTTTAAAGTTCTTCTTATTGTTTATAAATGTTTTAATCGGTTAGCTCCCTCCTACATTTCTGACATGCTCACTGAGTACGTACCAGAGAGATCCCTTCGATCATCAAACAAAGGTCTCCTCACAATACCCAGAATCAACTCCAATTCAGGTTTTGGTGCCTTCAGTCATTATGATCCCACTCTCTGGAATTCAATGCCAATTGAACTACAGTTTGCTACTTCAGTGTCTTCTTTTAAAAGCAAACTTAAATCATATCTATTCTCACAAGCCTTTAGTTAGGTTTACTGAATTAGTATTATTATTGTTATTATCTCCTGTTTTTAACCGTGATAAGAAAGATATCTTCTTATCTTGTTTAACCAACACCTTTGATTACATCTTGTGTGTAAATGTTAGTCACTCTTATCATAATGTTTATGTTTTGTCATGTACAATGTACCTTTGTTTCTGTTCTTAAGCACACTGAGTCTGCACTTGTCGCATGAAATGTGCTATATAAATAAACTTGACTTGACTTGACTTAATATATTAAGTGTTTTAATTAATTCATAAGCCTTGGACATTAATAGCTCATATTTTTTCAGCTACATTTCTGCTCATGTTCACAACTTTCTGCACATTCAAAACATATCTGTGTTCTGAGATTTCGAGAATGAATTCATAATAATTGTAGAAACAAAGTTGGAATATTTCAAAATAAAGTGTTAATTTAATAAGAATAAAGTCAGAATATTTCTAAAAAAAACTAACTGCATTATAGTCTGCTGTGTATTACGTCACTGCTCTGCAGATATGGTAGTATCCCCTTCAGACTGTGACAGGCACAGAACCCTGTTTGGGACTCTCTGCAGATGAAACACTGGGGACTGTTTCACATCCAGTGGGAACACAATGTAGTTAACCCTTTGTACAGCCGATGGAAATTATATTTGATTTAAATGCATTGGTGCAGCCTCAGTTGTAATAGTGAGAACCATCACAATATGTACTGACTTGTTGTTAGAGATGGGTCTGAGTGTAAACTAGTGAATAGATCTGTCAGCAGTACTAAGATTTAAACAGTGTGTGTGCAGCCAGTGGAAGCCCCCTGCACAGACTGTACAGAACGTGAGAACTCAAGGTGTTGTTGAGAAGAAAGTTTTGTCTTCCTCCTTCCTCCTTTAGAGAACAGGACATAATCTTAATACGTAGTTAAATTAGTCCTGAGCAGAGTCCACTTGTCCTGCTCTTACCACCAGCTGGTTCATGCAATATGTCATGTGGCAGCATTTAGCTATAAAATACTCTCCGCAGTTCACTTTTTAATTTAATTCCTGATAGGGAGAGGGGGATGGTTAAAATGCAAATGCTTTGTTTATAATAAATGTTGTTCATGCAAATTACCACAGATTCTGCAGTGGTAATAAATGAGTTAAAACAGAGGTCGATCACGAGAACAAGAAAAACATGGAAAGTACAAAGAGTTCCAAGGCAGGAGATCTCAGATAGAAACACAGTGTTCCAGAGAGAGGGGAGAAAGAGAAAGATGTACGAGATGTATGAGTGTGTTTTATGACTGTGTAAACAGTCACAAGACACCTGACACCACGCCTGCTTATCTGCGTCTCACATAAGCGCACACACCTCCTGACAGCAGCGCTGCAGATGAAACTGCTCGGTGAGGTTGCATCAGATATGTTTACGGCCCGTCTGTCTTCTTGACAGGGCAGAGGTGACAGGGAGGACAGAGGGGTCTGATCCAAAGCCTTGCTGAATTATAAACACAGTCTTTGTAATCTGCATGTTCAGATGATTTATTGTGTGCAAATCTAGCATGTATGATTAGGGACAAAATGAAAAATCAACAATGGAGCACTGTGGTAACCTCAGTTGCACTCTGCCTAAAGCAGGCTTGACGGGTCAGAGGCTCTTAACATTGCGTTTTTTTTTCTCAAATGTTTGCTCTCTCTTGAGAAATACTGGAGACCTATACCTGTTTAGACGTCGAAAAATCCTTCAAATAAAACAGTCTGACAAGAAGGAATATGACTCTTTGGTAGAGCTGCTGATGACTCCCAACCAGCCAGGCCATGACCTGTAATACGAGGCCACAAGTGGACTTTGTCTTAAGTGGTCCCAGGTCAAAAAGGTGCTGCACTGTAAGAGGATTCTTGCCTGACATTCAGACAAAATCTTTAACTACATGGAGTGGGCAGACTCAAAGGTCTTGACCCAGGCAAAGGTAATATAATAGGTTAATAGGTTACTTGCATTGCTCCAGAAAACAGGCTGTGATACACATATGGACTGACTGGATTGTTTGCTGGTGCACCAATGACCAATACAAATTACTGCTGCCTGCTGTTATGCTACGTTCTCATGCAGGTGCAGAATGTACATGCTAGTTGGCTGTTGGTTGTAGTCTATGTGGTGCGTTCAGGTACCAGTTTTTGGACAAAACACATGCAACATGAGACGGCGCAGCAGTCGGCCTTGGGTGCCACTTGATCTGTGATGTCAGTTTGGTGTGTCTGGGCCTAAAGAACAACAGGTCTGAGTGAAGATGCCACGCTTTCAACAAATTTGTTCTAACAAATAACTACACATTTTTAAAAACATCTATGATTTTTGTAATTTAATACTTTTAATATTTTGAGGACTTGAGCCTTTTGACTTGAAAATAGTAATACCTTCCCCC